CTTATTCAGGGACAGAGTGGCAAGTGCCCAAAGTGGAGGTGGGTAAAATGGGTTTTATTTAGTTTTAAATTAGGCTGAACTCAAATCAGGCCGTGGCTCTTTCACTGTCTTTATAACCTCTCAAGCTATTTTCTAATAAACATGAATTAGTACACTCACACTTTGAATTATAGTCAATTATCAACCATTACCATAAAAACAGCTAGTTACTATAGAACATAAGGTTCTGGAAAGTGTTGAGGTGGCTTCATTTCATAATTCTGTGCATTTCCTGAATGCATGGCCAAAGCAAAAAGTGTAGGCAGCATGATTATGTCCCTTTCCTAACTATTCTGTTTACTTAACCTTGTATTAAGTAAACCACCACCCCCTGCCATTGGCTGTTATTCAGCTTTTAGCAATTAATGTGAATTCTCCTTCTCTGAAAGAGAGTTAACTTTCAATATTTGTTAAATTAATGACCAAAAAAGTTGAAATGGACTCACATTTAGGTTGGATTTCTTATTCTAACAACACTTGGTGATGAGCAAACAAAATAATCACAGCATGAATCAGTTCTGTCATAAGCACTCTTAAGAGAAATTAAAATAAATCCTGTGAACAAAATCTCATTATCAATTAACCCCAAAGCCCCATTCTTATCTTTGTAGTATTAAGAGGGAGAACATAACTTCTCATTAATCAAACATCAAACAGATGAGAATACTATTTATAAACTTTACCAGATCTTTTTGAGGTGTCATTATCAACATAAAAGTGATCTAGACATAGCAAAATCCTATGCATGTTTATTTAGAACAGGCTTAACTGAGTTCAATGAAACATACTCCCAAGGATATAACAATAGAACCCCTACTTTAGAAGAGAATGTTTTTACTAGATGGTCTCGGAGTGCTCTGATCACAGCTTTGTTCAGCATTTCATGAAGTTCCATTCCATTCCATTGTTCTTTAAGGCACTTTGATCACATTGAATTAACCACCTTTCATCTCGCTGTAACACTCAGTACATAATTCAACAGCACGTCTGATAATTTGTAATTATAGTGCTCACTACTTTAGAAAAAAAAAACAAAAAACCTATTATTTCTCCAAAGGTAGACTTTTGGATTCTAGGACTAATTATTGATAAATGGCTATGAATTCAATGAAATTAATCCATGTGGAACAAAATCCCTAAAAAGTGACAGCCTATGAGATGTGTCTCTAGTAGTTTTTATATTCTGGAAGACTTTTCTATTTGTCTTATACTACACCAAACCTTATACTTTGAGAAAGGAGCTTGTTCTCCAGGTCATCAAGACTTCTGGGAATCCAAAGGCGGCTTGATGTGCAATATAAGAGAATCTTCCATTTTTCCTTCTAAGTTTTCTATGCCCTCAGCAATCACCCTGACTGTGAGCGCTCGTACTCTTTCTGTTTGCCTGTAGTCTCAATCCTCTCAAGTCTTCTTCTCCCTGTGACTTACTCTCTGCAAGGGTTATTTTTGTTCACCATCCTGCTGTCCAACTCAGATACCTTTCTTTACACTTCCATCTTGTCATCTCTTTGATCCTGTTGCCCCCTACTCTCTCTCTCTTCCTAAAGCCTCTTTGATATAAGCTTCTTTCCTGCACATTAGGATTAAACTAGATGTCCCCTGGCAAGTCTGGGTCTAAGGATCCTGGGCTCTGTTTACACTGCCATTTGCTCATTGCATTTCCAGGGCTGGGTTTTTAATTGTGTGTTCACATGATGTTATCCAAAATGCATATATATTCTGTAATTGTTATAAGATATTACTGTTTGATGTGTTCTGAAAGCAGCTTCACATGGTGGGAGTCCTAAGCCATTCCTAATACATCTCTAGCCAAGGTGTGAAAGCCTTGGCATAGGGTAAAGCCATCCTATACTGCTGTGTAAAATAATATTAATAAAATCTATTACCTGCCCTTCACCAGCAGTACCCGGAAACTACAACTAATCCAGAATGCGGCAGCTAGACTGGTGACTGGGAGTGGCCACCAAGACCATATAACACCGGTCCTGAAAGACCTACATTGGCTCCCTGTACGTTTCTGAGCACAATTCAAAGTGTTGGTGTTGACCTTTAAAGCCCTAAATGATCTCGGCCCAATATACCTGAAGGAACATCTCTACCCCATCATCCAGCCCGGACACTGAGGTCCAGCTCCGAGGGCCTTCTGGCAGTTCCCTCACTGTGAGAAGTGAGGTTACAAGGAACCAGGCAGAGCGCCTTCTCGGTAGTGGTGCCTGTCCTGTGGAACGTCCTTCCACCAGATGTCAAGGAAATAATCAACTATCTGCCTTTGGGAAGGCAGCCCTGTTTACGGAAGTTTTTAATGTTTGGTGTTTTGTCGCTTTTTTATATATATTCTGTTGGGAGCTGCCCAGAGTGGCTGAGGAAACCCAGCCAGATGGGTGGGGTATAAATTATTATTATTATTATTATTATTATTATTATTATTATTATTATTACTACTACTACTACTACTACTACTACTACTACTACAATATTTAATTAGCCATGCTTATGTGAACAGTTATGGGTGGTCGCAGAGCTGTGAATGCGCCAGGAAAAAGCAGCAACTTCACTGTGCTCTAAAGCAGTAATCTGAATAAATCCTCAGTAGGAAAGCAGCAGAAAGGGAAGTGCAGAAAACAATGAAAGGAAGAGGTTGCTTAAGAATTGCTTAAGCCCTCCCCCATTCATCCATTACCTTCCAACCTCTTCCTCTTAACTAGGATTCTGAAAGTATGCTTGCTATATCATGGGGTAAAATGTTAAGAGAGGAGGTTTATTGTATTTATTTATTTATTTTCAGAATTTATATATCACACTTGGGTACAAAAATGTCTTTCAGGGTTATGGATATAAACATTTGAAATCTAACATAAAATTCTTTTCAAAAAAACACAAAACCTAAACGTTTTAACCTAGCGCTAAAATGACAGCAGCAAGGAGGGTATCAGAGCTGGGGTGCCAGGACAGAGTTGAACATCTCTTTGTACATATACAGTTTAACATAGTATAGGTGAAAAATGCATGCCCATTTTTTGTTGGATAAGTTACTCATTCCAATTTTGCATAAATTTACACATACATTTACACATTACAATATTAAATGTCCACTCAGATTTATTCATGCATTATCCTGCATTTGTTTCCACAAGAGTTTTCTCAAATCTTAAAGAAAGGAAGGGATGTTTGAAATAGAGGGCCAAAGCAGGTATGGCGGGGGAATCAGAATGGCTTTGACATTTTGTTTCCAAGAAAGAAAGATAAATGGATAGAGAGGATATTAACAAAAGGATTAAATTGGAAAATTAATACATGATTGTGGTTATAATGGAATACACAACCTTAGATGGCCCATTAATGCCACCATATTTTGATGCTACAATTAAGCTTTGCTCCTTGTAAAAAGGTTGAATGTACTTGGGCTGAACAATGCAATGATAATAACAACAGCCATATAGAAGCTCCCTTCTTTGTTATAACATATAGAAATTATGTTCTAATTCTGAATTAAAAAAAACAAAAACATGGCATATGACCAAAAGCCTATTTGCTCACCATGTTTGGGAATAGTTTTGCTTGCATAAAATGTAGATCATGTCTGTCTTTATTTTAAAAAATAAATAAATACAAAGGAGAACATACTTTATATTTTAGCTGTACTGATTTGCAAATATTGTTCAATTTAGAAAAAGAGAGAGGGTGTATTCAGGATTGCATCCTAATTGGCAATTTACAATGACCAGCATTATCCTTCAAGAAAGTCAGCTTTTCATATTGAAATTGTGAAGTGTCAAAATGATTGAGAGCAATTGCACAACTATTAATTATGGTTATTTGAAGCTCAGTTCGTGGTAGGTAATGAGGACATTGTTCGTCTATTTGATATCTTTATAGCAGTCATCTTGGACTTCACTGCTCTCTCTCTTTTTTATAAAAGTATCCACGTTTGTTTTGTTTTCTCAGTTTCCACTTTTAAAAAATGAGTTCAAATACAAGCAGGCAAGTTGCTCCTGAAAATAATTTCATTAAAATGGATTAGCTTTCTCTCTGCAGTAATTGGAATAGCACAATTGAGCAAATTTAGTCAGCAAGCAGCATGTGACTGCCTTCACCCTCGCTTCCTTTTCTCACAGCAATATACAAATTTTTAAGATAAAATTTTAATTTGTTATTAATAATTTGGAGTTTGCTTTAAAGCTGCATTTTGTGGTATATTTTGTTTTGCTGTTTCTAAGGATGCCCTAACATAAAAGCCCTGTAAGGTTACTGTGCAATGTCACAAACTGTGCTTGCTTACAACTAAGCAATTTCCAACAGACAGAATATCGGCTCCATAACTGTAATTCCACCCCAATAGAGACTTACTCTGTTTATTATTTGCCTGACACATGGCTGCTAAAGGTATGAGTGCCTGATGCCAACCCTAAACCATATAGAGAAGTCAAGTTTCATGTATTGCAGGTCTGATTTTAGGTTGTCAATGCTACATTCAGTGCAAGATGAGGGTTGGCATTTCAGTTGGAAAGGGTCAAAAGTGATTTAAGATCTACAGCAATTCTGTTCAGATGCTCCTATCTGGATAAACTCAAGTTTTAAATAGTTGAAAAGCAAACAATATATTCACTTGTTGCTGTTATTTATTAATACCTCATAACGACTACAACACACACACACACACACACACACACACACACATTTTTGAGCAGAAAGGATTTGAAATCCACACTCAGACATGAAGCTCACTTGGTGCCCTTGGGCCAGTCACTGTCTCTGAGCCTCACAAGCTTGTTTCAAGGATGAAATGGGAAGGAGGAGGAGGAGAGAGAGGTGGGAAAATATTGTTTAAAAAGCTGTAGTCGTAGGCATATCAGTGTATTCAAATCTGAATTGTCAAATTGTGTTATTATTGTTGTTATGGTTTTTGTTGTATGTGTCTTTTGTGGTCGATGTTTGTATCAAAAAAATGATTAAACTTTTTTTTTTAAAAAAAAGAATGAAATGGGAAAGCATCTATGTACACCACCATGATTTCTTTGAGTAACAACAACCACCCATTTAAGTGTTTATACCAGGAGCACCAACCCATCCCCAATGAACCATCCCCATGGGTGGGAAAGCAACTAAGCACTAATATTGCTGTTGCAATCAACTTGTCGTCCCCCCCACATTTCCCTCGCTATGGGTTCCTAAGCCAAAAAGCAGAATCAGCACCCTCAGCTCTTTTGTGAAGGCTCTTCCATGCTGAATGACATTGTGTACAACTCAGATTTGAAATTAAAGCAGTGCTGACACTGATGCATAAAGATTAAATGACAGTTCATTGGCACAGAGGTCCTTACTGGCGTCCTACGTACAGACCTCAAATTCACCTTAAGGAATTCTCCCATGCTTGCGATGTCTCTGCTTGTCATCTGGGTGACAGTCCTCCATACTGAATTGTATTTGTTTCCTCCATAGGGAATTTCCTTGTGCATGTGTTTGTTCATTGTTCTTTCTGCTTGCTCTTCTATTCCCTGTAGAAAGGACAAATAAGAAGTGCAAAGCAGCATTTAAATAGTTCCCTATAGAAACAGCTAGTTCCACCATATGCCTTTGAGATTTTAAGCATCTATCGGAAGAAAGAAAAATGAAACGCAGCTGTGGTTCAAGGGGGTTGGGGCAGAGTCAGGGACCTGTTTTTCAGCCTGAGGGCCACATTTGGTCATAGTCAACCTTTTGGAAGCCATATGTCAGTGGGTGGAGCCAGATGCAAAAGCAGACAGAGAAACATAAATAGACCTGTTTGTGGAATCCACATAAGATCTCCTAACAATAATTTATTTGGCTTTAACTTTTCACAGTTGACATATTGTACCATATACAAGCATGGATTTTGCGAGTGGTCAACAGCGTTGAAATAAAAATATATGTCACAGGAAACTAAATCAGGATTTGGAATCACCTATTAAAGCATTAAATTGTAAGCTCCTGCAATGGCAGGGAAGGAACATTCTCCGAAGGCCCTCTCCTTAGCTCATATGAGTGGTAATTTTCCAGATTCTTTGCCTGCAAACACCTGGGCTGGCGAGGAGAGAGCAATGTATTATTGCATACAAAGGGACACTGCCTAAAATCTGGCTTAGTCTGGTCAATGGGTTTCTCCAGACTTAGACATACTTAGAGATGGTATATTAAAGTGCAAGGTCTGCCAACCTGTTCTTTGTGAGCTAACTTTGTGACTACACAGTTAGGAATGGAAGAGAAGTTTGCTTCATTCTTATTTTCAAGTTCCTAATTTACACTTCCTGGACTCATATGTGGATCAGAAAAGAGTTAACAATCAGAATATATACTTCTTTGAATTTTGGGATGCAGTTCTGTTTTTTAGAATGCATTGAAATGTTTTTTAATGGGAAAATGCATTACATAATGCATATTTTAGAGGATAAATGCACACAAAACCTTACCCAAAAAGCTGTTTTAGGACAAAAGAACATATAAAATTAAGTATAATTTAAATGCACAAATTTCATTCATGTTAACAAAAATCCACGGGAAATGGAACACAATGGGCTTAGAAATGAATACATGTGAAACAGGCATGGAATGGAAATAGGCTGATCCCCCCATCTCTATAAAAAAGGGGGCGAAATGTAAATGGATATATTGATTGATAATCTGGCTGTTAAATTTTTCCATATATATATATATATATATGTATACTGCCCTTCATCAAAAGATCAAAGGGTAGGTCACAATATAAAAATACAAAATGAGAACACATAATACATAACAAAACAAAACAAACCAATAAAAAGTATTGAATTCATTATGTCGACATTCAAGCAGCTCTTTTCTTGCTTTTCCTTGATGCTTTCTATCTTAGGAACAAAATGGACAAAAGATTTATGGGATGCTGAAGTCATACTTTTCATTTCTTCTTCCCCAATGAAAACAATACATTCTGCTTGTAGGAAATCCAAAACAATAAATAAAATGTCTCTTGTCTTATGCTCCTTAATGATGAAACCCCGCCAGGAAGAAAGAGTTATAGGCTGCATGCTTACTCAGAAGTGAGCTTACACCCATGTAAATTATTCACGTGAAATATAAGGTTGCTTCAGACATTGTGTTTTTCTAGATGGATGATCAGATCCCACCCACATTCCGTGGCTGTATCTCATCCACATACTCACTGTGGCCCTGGTTTTTCTCCTACTTAATTCTGATTTAACTCAGATGCTTTCTAAAATTCTAGAAACATGTAAGGACATCTTTGTGTTTCTTCAGTGTGTTTGCCCGTTGGATATCTATGTGCACATGCCCATTGACAAAAGACTGTAGCAGAGGTGAACTTGCTGTTGATGTGCTTACACATATGATTGCAGGGAGACCAATTCTGTGCAGTTTTTAATTTATCCCACCGTGTGCTTCTGCACATTGGTAGAACATGGGTGGCACTGTGGTCTAAACCACTGAGCCTCTTGGGCTTGCCAGTCAGAAGGATGGCAGTTCAAATCCGTGTGATGAGGTGAGCTCCCATTGCTCTGTCCCAGTTTCTGCCAACCTTGCAGTTTGAAAGATATCGGTGTGAGTAGATAAATAGGTACCACTGTGGCAGGAAGGTAAACAACGTTTTTGTGTACTCTGGCTTCTGTCACAGTGTCCCGTTGCACCAGAAACGGTTTAGTCATGACCCGGAAAGCTGTCTGTAGACAAACACTGGCTCCCTTGGCCTGAAAATTGAGCTGAGCGCCGCACCCCATAGTCACCTTTGACTGGACTTAACCATCCAGAGGACCTTTACTTCCAAACAGCAAGACCAATGGTCAGGAATGATGGTCCCTGTAGTCCAGCAATATCTGGAGAGCCATAGATTTTCCTACTCCTGGCCTAGAGCTGGAACTTGTCATTCTTAATAAGGTTTATTTAAAACTTTTTAAAGAAAAATGTTAAGCCAGTGTTGCACTTACAAAGGGTTGTTTGAAGTGTTCTTCTCTATATAGAGAGTAGCCCATCTCATTTCCTTTTGTCTACGCTTTCCCATTTGTATTCATTATTCAGATTCCCAGCAATTTTTCTTCCTCTTTAGTAGGCACTATGTACCTTCAACAATGATACTGACATGTAATAAACAAAAGAACACATTCAAGGTCAGTGGACACATTGCTACATTAGTAACCTCCATTTATACTGAAAACATATAGAAAGCATTTCCATATGTTTATCCATTTACCTCACCTTGATACAAATGCTTAAAGCAATTCACAAATTAAAGAAATAGGTATTATTAGGACAACATGATATCTATACAGAAAACAAAAACAAAGACAGCAAAAATATAAGCCACAATAAGAATTAAAAACCAGCAGTTATAATTAATCAAGACTGAATTAAAACTAAGCATGAGAAAATAAAACAACATTATTTTCACCTATCACCTAACGCCAAGTGAGTCAGTGTGGTGTAGTGGTTAGAGCAGCATTTCTCAACCTAGAGTCCCCAGTTTTGCTGGACTTCAAACCCCAAGTTCATGGGCTCCTTATATAAGACAGCCCAGGTTTTAAGATTACAGGATAGTCTCTTCTTGTTCTATGGATAGATGTTGCCTCTGGTGTGGTAATTCAGGATGGGGATGGATTTATGAAACTCCCTCCCTCTGCAGTGCAGTGCAGTGCCATTGATATCTGATTCCTCCTCCCACTTAAAAGCACACATTTTCATGTAAGTCTTTTGTAAGGTTGCCATACATCTGGGAAATCCCAGACATGTCCTCTTTCGGGGGCCTACATGCCCATCCGGGGCGGGGGGTGTGTGTTTAAATTTAGAAGCAAATGTCCAGGTTTGTGTGGGGTTTAATTTTTGTGTGTACTGGTGGTTCAGGTTCAGGCTCTGGTCCTGGCTTTGGTTTGGGTGCGGGTGGCTCAGTGCACAAAAGGAGAGTCAGGGCAGCTAGCAGAGCTCACAGCCAGGAAAGCTTCTTCCCTGCGTGTCTGCTCTGCCCATCCACTGAGCTGCCCTTTCCCTCCTGCAAGCAGGAGGGGATGGGGCAGCTTGCAGAGCTGACAGGCAGGGAAATTACCATTAGGGGGAATTTTCAAAAATTGGCAAAATGCCTGATTTTTAACTCTGGAAATGTGGCAACCCTATCTTTGGGGGGAACTGATTTGCTAAGGTCTATTGGTCGCTTATATAAGGCTGGTTATAAATGATGAGGTGACTCTCTGTCTTGAATCATAGAACCAAAGAATTCTAGAGGTGGAAGAAACCAAGAGGGTCATCTAGTCCAAGCCCCTGCAGTGCAGTACAGTGGTACCTCGGGTTACAGACGCTTCAGGTTACAGACTCTGCTAACCCAGAAATAGTACCTCAGGTTAAGAACTTTGCTTCAGGATGAGAACAGAAATCGCACGGTGGCAGCAGCGGGAGGCCCGATTAGCTAAAGTGGTACCTCAGGTTAAGAACAGTTTCAGGTTAAGAACGGACCTCCGGAACGAATTAAGTTCCTAACCCGAGGTAGCACTGTAATCTGTTGCCAGTATAGGGCTCAAACCCTCGACCCTGAGATTAGGAGTATTGTGCTCTACCAACTGAGCTATCCCATATATATTGATATGGTTTTATTTTTAATTATCTTTTTAATTAGCTTTATAATTACCTTTATGGCTATTGTGCATATGTTGTCAACCTCCCTGGTATCTATGATGAAAGACGGTTAAAAATAGACTTGAATAAACAAACATCTGCATAGGGTGACTGTTCTAATTAAGTTATTATGACAGTGATCTATAGCATGTAAACATACTTAACATGTATACATAAATGTGTAGGTAGATTCCCCCCCCCCCATGATTTATGTCCTATCAAAACATTCTCCCTTTTTCTTTTATTGTAACCTGTCTTTTGATTTCAAAGTGCCTCCTGCAAATACTTATGATAATTGAGTACATTGTTCGGTACATCACAAACAATCTTTTTTGACTCCCTGCTGTCCATAGCCACTATTAATTAAAAGCATACATAAAACAGACATCTTCCCTTGTGAGCTCTCACACTGAACAAATGGTCTTAATAAAGAGAGTGCGAATAATTGTCTGGTGTTTAAAAGAAAATGAAATGAAAGGTAAAATTACTCCAGGTTGGGTAATTCCAGGTTTCACATGTGCAACAACCAGCACTAGGATGTTGCAATCTTTAGGTGAGCAATCATTAAAGGGAGAAATATCAAAATAAATGAGGGATTAAATATATACTTAAGGTATAATGCTTCAAGGTGGGAGATTGATTTTGTTTGTCTGATGGTCCTTGAACACTAATTCAATATGGCTGATGCGATACACCACTTACGGAGTATGCCAATCTCCATCATATTTAGTCCAAATAGCAGAACAAGGATGAGAAGGATGAGCACAGGCACATATCCCAAAGACTGCAGCAGCAGCAACAATTTTCCATCTCCACTACATGCTACAATCCATTTATTGTTGTCTTTCTCCCTACTGCTGGTTTAATGCTGTAGCACCAAAGCAGGCATCAATAACATGTGGTCCTCCAGATGTTTTGGGACCGCAGCTTCCAATATCCATGCCCATAGGCCTGGGCTGATGGAAACTGTAGTCCAACAACACCTGGAAGGCAATAGGTCCCCCACCCATGCACTAAATCATTCCCTTGGGAAACTGGTCACTAGATTTAGTGTGACTTTTAGCTATTACATTGTGGGGCCAGCAGGTGTCTGGTCAGTGGCCCCATGCTGTCCTTGCTGCCTCACATAAAACTGAGGAGAAGTAGCATGGAGAGGAGGCAGAGGTCAGTGCTGGTGTCTGGGTACAGACAATGATGAATACAAAGCCTAAGCTGGAGGCAGAACCATTCCTGAATCTGAAGGTGGGACTTAAACCTCTTCCTTCTGGGAAGGAATAAACCTCTTCCTTCCTCCTTTAGTAGACAGCCTACTAAAGATAAACCATCTTTCTGGTAGAAGAGGACTGGGGGCAATTTCAGATGTTCAGCAACATTGGATAAAGTTGGTGTGATGCGTGTTGAGGACTGCTAGTGCACTGTTGCACATAAGAAGGTGAGGGGGAATATACTATAAAACGTAAACAAAACACATAGCTTGCAGTATTATAACTGAGATGATCTAGACTTTCTGTGCCTGAAGAGCAAAATGGAACCAACCATCCACCACCTCTCTCTGCGGTAAGAGAAGGTGAGGCTCTGGCTCTGGGGCCTTTTTAAAAAAGCAAAGTTTGAGATACACATTCCTCTGTATTGTCTTAATCAAAGTAGTGGTGAGCTGAAATAGCCATCCCCATTTCATCATCCCACTCTCTGGGGGCAAACTGAGGCTGGCTATTTCAGTTCCATTTTCATTTTGGTTCCATTTTGTGGCCATTTTAGTTCCAAAATTGTGTGTGTGTGTGTCATGATTCAACTACCAAAAAACAAAAAAACAAAAAAACCCCATTTCAAGAGGATGTGACTCACCATTCTAACAGGAGTGTTTTTAAATTACCCTTTCTCTTTCTTTTCCTTGGAACACTTTTTTGGTACCTCTCTATAAAGCCACTGGCGCTAGCTTTCGTGGTGTGGAATGAAAGCAGCAGTGGGCCTCTGGCTTCCACCACTCTACTTACAGAAAATGCATTTAGAAGACCAGTGCTTGTTCTCTTCAGGCTTCACACAATCCTAGACATAGGTTGTCTGTGAATTCAATGTGAGGCTCACTAACAAGCTGTTAACAAAGCACAACCATGCCACTAAGTTTGTTATTCCATCTTCCAAGTCTTCAACTCTTCCTACTTCAAATCCTCTAAGGAAACAAGCTATATAATTTGAGACACAAGCTTTCCCCCAGAGTCTATTCCTTTGTACCCTCAAGATTGAACTGTGTTGGAACTCTAGTGGGGATACAAGTCAAAAGTTATAGTCAGAACCTGAACTTTACAGTGAGAGGGTTCTGGATCTTATAGCTTTCTATATTTGCCGAGTGCTTTTAAATCCAAAAGTGTCAATGCCCTGGGAGACTTCTTTCCCCAGAATGAAAAAGTACATAAAAGACAAAGGAGAGGGAAGAAGGAGACAAACTGGAAGAAACAGCAGTAGCATGTTCCAATTCTTTCTTTCAACACCCCATATTTTTCTTTTATTAAAAAAAGAAAAGGTTGTGAGGAGAATAACATTTACTACCCACATGCATTTCATATAATATACCACAAAGGATTTTTTTTAAAAAAACAATGGTTTTTGGAGATCCAGAAGTTGATGTTATTGAACCAATGTGCTTCTCTCTCTCAGAGCCATATGTGGATGACTCTTAACTTCTTAACTTCTTAACTCTTAACTTCTCCCAACCTTGAGCTCCCAGATGTTACTGGACTATCATGCTCATCATCTGTGACCCTCGCCCATGCTGACTGGGGATGTTACCAGTTACCAAGACTCCATTTTGAACTTAACCCTATTAGATCTTCATAATTAGTCAAATGGAGATGCTTGCTCGACATCCGAACTTGAGCCCCTCAAAATGTTGTGTCCCCATATTACCTTCCATATTTGATTCAGGGGTTCACAATGCCCTCAACAGAAAGACAATGTTTACATGTTGTAAGCATAGTACCATTGGCAGACTTGCTTTTTCAAATACTGTAGAAGGATTGATGGGAACGGAATAGAGTATAAACCAGCTGTATAAGGAAATTAACAGATCATAAGCATACTGAGGCTGCAGTCCTCCACAAGGTTACCGGGGGGGGGGGTAAGTCTCACTGAACTTGATGAAGCTTACTTCCAAGTATATGAGAACTAGAGCTTATCAAAAACTGAGGCAGAGCTGGAATATGATATGTTAAGGTGAAATATTCTGAGACAGCCTGAAAATTATGCTTTTTGATGGTAGTGATGTGATGACAATGAGAAAAGGTATAGGAAAGACTAGAAGCTAGTGACAGTAGAGCAAGACAGACAGGGGAACAGATTGTGGTAGATGCAGAAAATATGTGGCATATATTCACCAGCTTTTATTTGAACTGAGTTAACCTTAGGGTTGAGCCATGTGACTATTTATGAGGTAGAAAAGTGACATTAGTTTTTGACCAGGCCTTGAGACAGTGTGAGGTTCTGTAACTGTGTAAGTGCCTTAATTTAATTTATGAGCTGTTTAATTTAAAGGGTAGTCCTTTGCTTCTGAGCAATGCTATCCCTGGTTGTTTTAAATTATTGGTTTTAGTTACTTTATTGTAGTTGCAGTTTGGAGGTACTGATTTTTTCTTATTTTAACTTATGTATGCATTCTCAGCCTGAGTCCGACTGATGAAAGGAGGGATATAAATGCCAAAAATAAATAAAATAATACATCAAATGAATTTTCATACAACAATTACATATAGAATGTTAATTTTACATTGAAGGGGGCTTTTCAAAATTAATTTCCACATAATGAAGTGGTCTTGTGCAGTAATCTCCATGTGATGCAACCATAAGTTGCCACATGCTGAAATAATAAAAGCTTAAATGAAATAATAACAGAATTTCACAGAATGTGGTAACAAGCAGATTTGCTTCTTAAGGTCTGTTCTGGAAGATCATTTACTGCACAAATATTGTCGCAAAGTTAGTTTAGCATCTTATGAACCAATCCATAGCATGAAGCTAAATAATAATAATAATAGCAATAATAATAAGTATTAGACTGCTTGAGCACTTTGTAGCCTCCCTCAAAGAATTTAAAACTTATCACAATATTTTAAAGTCAGATTTAGGGACCAGATTTTTAAGCATTAGTGATTCATATAGTTAGGAATGTACAGATAAGTCTAATTCCAGTCTATGTCAGTTTCACATTTGTTTGTTTGTAAATATATTTATTCACATTTCTGCATTACTCTTGTGAAGTTAAAAAAAATCATTTGCTAACTTATTTGAAGGAAAATCTATACTTAAATCTGTATTTTGTATCTGTGTTCACATTTCTAAAATAAATTTATCCTCAAAATTCTTATGCATTTTGTCACATTTTCCAATCTAAGAACTATTGTAAAATCCAGAGAAGTGTGAAACTCTATGAATAACTCTGTTCCAATCTGTGTATTATTCCAGGAGGTGTAAATTAGGCTGATTCACCTAAAAATAATGATTGAATGAAAAATTGCCCTATCCCTAGATACAGTTACTTCAGCTGTAAAAAAAATACTCAGCTGACAAAAAAGGTCTTGATAGTTTGTTTTATTTCAATACGAAATCAGACCAGATGTAATTCTCCAGCCCATGACCATTTTCCATTGGAGTCCACAATACTAGTTAAGTTCATCCAATTTATACTACAGAATCCAAAGGGGATTCTGAACAGTCATTCATAAAAGGTTTGCAAGGAGAGTTTTGTAAAAATAACAATAATAAATCAAAGCGCCAACGGTTTGGATACCATGCAAAGGGTTCTTGAAGGCCCATATATTCTATTGATCCATGGTGATGGTGGCAAAGCCTCTTGGCCTGAGATTGGAACTTCAATCTATTTGTCCAGGAGAGGCAAGTTTCTTACATCAGAGACATGGTATAATGATTACAAAGAAAAGTGGGGGGAAATGAAGAAAAAACCCACAAAAACAGAATACTTGGGCTTTAGACAAAGAGGAAGACATAAAAAGTAAATGTCCTCTATCACTTTTAAAGTGTGAAATGTACATTTGTTACGTTTCTCCCCTCTGCCCCTTCTGGTTAATGGAGTGGAGAGGAAACACTTGAGGCCATGTTCCTTACAACAATCACTATATTACATTTCTGCTTGACAAAACTGCTTTCTGGAAGAATAAAAGAGATTAGAAAAGAGGACCTTTCCTACTCATTTTTAGAATTTATCTCTATGTTCCACTGTCTTATACTCTCCTGGCTTAAAAAAATAAAAAAATAATTGAGACAAACACTTACAGGCCTTATTTATTACAGGAAATTCCTTTTGTTAAATAAAGAACCAGCAACTGGTAAAGAGAACAGGTATGTTTCAGAACATTAGAGCCATAAAAATAGGTGGACTCTGCCTTTTCGGTTCAAAAGGGACCCTAAAGAAAACAGACACACATAAAAAGGAAAATAATCTACATAAAAGGATATGAGGAAGTAATGGCTTGCTTTGGCTGTAACACCAAACTACGGTTTAGAATCATGAGCATATGCCTTGGTCATGTGCTCTTTCCCTTCCTCCTATGACACTACTGCAAAAAGGAGATCAGAAGCTTTTATTTCTATTTTCAGTTAACAATATTTTGGTGTTAGATCCCTCACTCTAACCTATGAATAATTTCAACTATGGCTTATTGAAACAACCTAGCTTCACGAGCTCCAATATAAGGTTGGCTTGTTTCACAAGAAACCAAAGTTAAGAGTGACTGACCACAGTTTTTCTGGGCTTGGACATAATGTTAAACTGTGATTAGCTAACGAAGGAAGTTAAAGCTTCTGATTTCATTGTGGCAATGCAGGAAGTTTGGTGAGAAGAAAGAAAGTGTTTGAATCTGAGGCTCACATAAATCTATCCCATAGTTAAAAGTTAACAGTTACCTGTCTGACATTTGCATTTTAAGTCTTTTGCATATTTGTTTGAAGATAATCTTACCATTCTCATATGATATGCCAAGTTTAAATTAGTTTATTCTCATGTGTTACTGTGGAAAAACCACCTATCTATCTACCTCTCTACCTACCTATCTACCTACCTATCTATTTGTCTCACTAACTATCTGGCAGAGTCTGATATATTTCACCTGGGGGCAATCCATTTGAAACCCCTCCCTACCTGTGTTCTCACCTGCTGGTGCATGATGTACCAAAACAAATAATCTTATTTATGCAAATAAAAGCAGGGCACGGCCACCTTACAGTTTTAGAGACACAGAGGCACTTCCACGTGCAGCTAATTGTGAAATAAGACATGCCACTTACCAAGCTGTTTTGAGAATTTTGGAGCCCATGTTACTGTCTCTGTGGTAATTACTGTGACATTTATCAACCAATCCAACAAGATGTTTTAAGACACTGGAGCTTCCCTTGTGGTATCCCACTTGGAACATTACAATCAACTCTAATTTAACATAAAACTAGGCAGATCTGGTAGGATGGGAAGAAATCCATTAACTACCTCAATCTGTTGCAATGGTCCTCATTAAATTCTCATTCTTACTATAGTTCAAGCACAGGACAATGTCTCCGCCCCCAAAATAACAACATTCAATCACATTTTTCCCCTTGGCACCCAGTGATGGCAGGGCCAGAGTATACAGTTTCTATATGCTTGCCAGGCAGCCAAGCTATACAATTTAAACAGATTTTAGACATTGTTAAAATGCTTCTATTACAGAGGCCATCCTGGAACATGGCTACAAAAGATATTTGATGTTTCTTTTTCAAAGCTTAAAATAAATAAATAACTGGAAGTACTAGAAACAGCAGAATTCTTATCTCCCCCTCCTTCTTGGTGTACATACCTAAGTGTCTGTAACAGACATACAAAATTTTAACAGGATAGCATCTCACTACATTGGCTGGATGGAAATGCTTCAGAAACGAGGGAGTAACATGCATTCATGGCAAAAATAAGAAGACCACATGTGAAAGGAGGCCCAGAAGACTCTAATGTTCAAAATGATGGGTCATTTTCTGATAATAAAATCCCTCTTGTATAACAACTTTTGATATTTTCTTATTCTTCTGTTCATGGGAGAGATACTTTTCCTGCTGAAAAGAGGTGACACCCCAAAACAATGCACTGAATTTGCAGGTATTGTTTTTCGAGCACTGACTGTAACACACACACAAACCGACACCCCCCCCCCCATCTGCAGGGGACCACAACATGCTGGTCAATTTAGCAAGTGGGGAATTGATACATTAAAAACTAAGGTGGGGGGGGGCAAGATGAACCTCTGTTGAACATAGCCATATCATTTCAAAAAGCCATTTCTGGTACAGGTTGCTGTGTGTTGAGGCAGTAATTAGACATAAAAGCTAAGTACTGGAGAGGAATGGGTGGCAGTGCCATAATTTGTTGGGCACCACAAAATGAATGGTATTTGTTGCTCATGCTTCATTTTTGCAGAACATTTTGCATTTTGATGGGATAAGTATATGGAAAAATGTGCCAGATATGATTGGCCATCTCCTTTGTAAATGGCTTGTTTCCTGTTATTATAGAACGACATGTTAAACTGCCAGAAGGGGGTTTCAGGTTGTAATGGTACACTGCCCACTGCAATACAACAGGGGAAGAACTAAGAAGGATCCCATTAATCAAGCTTCAAGCCAACACATTCTTCTTTCTGCTGGTTTGCTCTTTTGTCATCTTCAAGCTTATTTGCTGTAAGCTTCATGTCTTGAATGAGACTTGAAAAGAAGGCAGCTATTCAGACTCTCATAAAAGCTTCCACTGATTTCCCGTTCCGTGCCAAAATTCTGTCAATATTAAGCAACAAGCACCTGAGTCTCCTTTATTATATAGGAGTATGTGCCCATGACTAATGCAAAGTGTTTGTTGCATCAAGCTCACACAGAAAAGAAGCCTTTGCTACACTATACTCTGTAAGGGCGTTTAAAAAAAAAAAAAGAATGCTAATTTCTCATTAACAACACGGGTGACTGACACAGCTGACGGCTGTCGGTGACAGCCCATCCACCACAAATTAATTGTTTCTAAGTTGGGTTTTGATGCGATCACTTAAAAATTAGTTTGAGAGCCTGCTTCCAACAAAGACATTAGCGGCAGTGTAGTTTTATGTCAGTGGTGGAGGGAGAGGGAGGAAGGGAGGGAAAGTAAACGTTGCCTGAAGTTCCAGCTTTTGCCAATGATGAAACACTTCATTTTTGGCTTGTGAAAGGCTAGGACAGTCCTACTCTTTTTATTTACAAAGGTTTAGATTAAAATGTCATGCCTAGCTACAGAAGGCTAAAGTCAAGGAAGTGAAGGAACCAGCAAAGGGTGTTACATCATGATAATTATTGCATTTGTCAGTATACATGGTCCCGCCAGTGACAAAAGGAGAAGTTAGGAAGGCCAAGCTATTTTGGAATGTGTGTGTTTCAGAAATCCTCAAATTGTTATTAACAAAGCCCATCGTCTTCTTAATTTCCCCTTGGCTTTTAATAGTTTAATCCCAGACCTACTTTCTTCCTTTTCCTGTTCTCACATGTTTACAAATATATTGCAAAATGTTCTAACCTTTTGTATATCGTATATTATTAATAGTAGTATTATTCTGGTATATTTTAAGGTAGAGTTGTTGTTGTTGTTGTTGTTGTTGCTGCTGCTGCTGCTATTTATTTATTTTATATAATGCCCTATACCTGGGGGTCTCAGGACGGTTCACAGAATAAAATCAAAATATAAAACAAAGTCCATAATAAAAACAAAAATGACAACCCAATAATTCCTCCAACACACACACACACACACACACACACACACACACACACTTTAAAAGAGCATAGGGTGTAAATCAAATCAACCAAAGGCCTAGTTAAAAGGGAATGTTTTTGCCTCACACCTAAAGGTGTATAATGAAGGCGCCAGACAAACTTCCCTGGGGAGAGCATTCCACAGATGGGGAGCCACTGCAGAGAATTCTTGTGTTGCCACCCTTCAGACCTCTCGAGGAAGAGGCACATGAAGAAAGGCCTTAGAAGATGATCTCAGGGTCCCGGTAGGTTCATATGGAAATGGGCCGTCCTTGAGGTATTGTGGTCCTGGGCCATTTAAGGCTTTGTAGGTAACAACCAGCACTTTGAATTGGGCCTGGAAACTAATTGGCAGCCAGTGCAGTCAGACCAGGATTGGTGTGATATGTTCAAACCAGAGCAACCCGTGTGGTTGATATGACCATGATGGTCAGAACAACAACAATAAACATAATATTGTGAAGTGAGGGGTGTGTATGTGTAACTTAAACATGAGTCTTCGGGAATCAAGCCTCCTGGGATAGCCCATGCATGACTTAGTGGCAGAGTGTATAGTTTGTGTGTGGAGGATCACAGGTTTAATTTGCACCACCTCCAAAATAAAACTCTGTCTGAGACCCCAGAGACCTGTTGCCCATCAGCATAGACAATAATGAGCTAGGCGGCCTAATAGCCTAAGTATAAGGCAGCTTCCTATGTTCCTGAGCTATCTTAAGTGCCACTTACATTCTGGTCCTTCAGCAAAACAAGTAGATAAGGCTTGTTGATTCAAGGGTATCCTCTAATGCAGTGTTTCCCAACCTTTGGTCTCTAGCTGTTTTCAGACTACATTTCCTACCATCCCTGACCACTGGTATTGCTAGCTAGGGATGATGGGAGTTGTAGTCCAAAAGCAGCTGGAGACCCAAGGTTGGGAAACACTGCTAATGCTCTTCCAGCCTGAATGCAGTCAGCTGACTCCACAAACCAATTTGAGACACACTTGGCCTGATGAATCCACATTATTTCCCCAGTCTAAACAACTTGCTTCACTAAGTGGCCAAATAAACTACCTCATCTTCCTCCTGAGCTCATACTCTGCTTTTTGCCCCTTTTTGTCTCCAACTATACAACTGCACCATCAGCTGAAACTTGTCTCAGAGCTTCCTCAAGGCTAAACATTTACAAAATGGAGAGAGCAGGTGCTGAGATCAAAGGCAAAGGCTGCTTCTAAGATGTAACTGAAATCTAAGCTGTTCCTGCCAAACTGGTCTCTAGGAAATGGAGTTTTTTTATTCATCCTGAATCATTCACCAGGATTAGCAAAAATAAAAAATTAATAAAAGCATATTAAAACCAGATTAAAGTTGAAGCATGTTTCACAATTCCAATCATGCTTTGGCACACAACATACTAAGATCCAGATTCAATTGAAGTCAACATAAGTCTTTGTATAAGAGATCTGCAAAATGATTCTTCATCATTACTTTTGCTGTGCTATAAAGCAGCAATGGGTAACTTGTGGCCCTCCAGGTATTGGTGAAAGACACCTCTTATCATCCCTCACCTTTGGTCATGATGGCTAAGAGTATTAGAGATAATTTTGGAAATCTACCTGCTTGCTACCCGAGGCCCATCAGGCAGGGAATGAGTATTTTTGTTTTGCTTTTTGCATATATGCCATTGTTTTGTATAAGTTTTCATTGTGTTGTGAAATCACATCAAAAGGCTTAATGGGAGGAGGTGATCCACCTCTGTCATGAAAGAGCAACAAATGTGTCTATAGTTTTGCATAATTGTGGTTAGTATTGCCAGAGAAGGACATGTGAGGTTATCTCTGACCAGGTTGTGAAAATCTGTTCACCTTGACACCTTAGCCAGCAAGATGTCTGGTCCTGTGGGTTACCTGGAATTGGACACCATTGTCTTTCCCCCTAAAACAGGTACGAGGCTACTGATGTATTGGTTCATCATTTTGTTTTATTTGTGCATCATTTGTTTATATAATTTATAACCAGATTTTGCATGCAATTTTTCTAAGGTTGAGATATGAACATTAAAAACAAACAAGAAAAAATATCAACAAAGTCAATCAACAAAGAAAATGTTGAATAGCAGCTGGTAATCCCAAATAAATTCAAATAAGGACAAGGCAGATGGTTTGTGCCTAGGGCTATTTGGGCTACAATTTGTTAATTACAGTTCGTATAGTCAATGCAAAATATAGGAAGTAACCAAATTTTCTACTGTTGACAATTAACTTTCAAGTGGCTGGCAAACTTGGGTGATGATAATTATGCATTACAAAAGATGTAGGCAAAATAGACAGCCTATACTTATAGACAATTAGGAACCCTTTTATGCTGTACTGGAAAATAATTAAATCATATTAAGGAATTCACCACAAAATAATAAATATTATTTGGCCAGGCAGGCACATTATGTGACCCATGAAAGCAGCAAAATAACAAGCTATACAACGGTGATGGGATAAATTCAGGGCAAATCTTTATTGACAGCAGCAGCAGGCAGGGCAAGGGTTAGCATGGCATTGAGTCCCAGGATCAGTTCATCATTCCACAAGCCACATGTTGATGGAATGGATCCACTGGGTTTGGATTGCTCCAAACCTGTACGATGGGAGTTAGCCCATGTTGAACCTTGCTGTGGTGCAAGCCAAGCAAGCAGGGGTCTCACTGGCAGACCATGGTGCACAATTGGGTTTGCTGTGGTCCATTCTCCCCTCAGGCCCCTTATGGGGGTGGCCACCCATACTATGTTGATCCTGACCAATGCCATTTCTGCCCTCATACAAACAATGTTCTTCCACCTAACAAACGAAATCTGTAATTTCACTGAGGGATAGGTGGGGGTGGGGGAACTCAACCAAGTGCTCATCAGGTTGAGAGAGAAAAATTCCTTTCCAGCCCTGTCAACCAGTGACCCAAAATTGCTCAGTGAAGGCTCTAACCCAAGGGAGGGTGGGTGAGTGGAAAGCTCTCAAAGCAAAATGCCTGTGAGATCCATGGGAAGCAGCCTTATAAAGCATGGGAAGCAGCCTTCATGGGACAGCTTTTTCCCATGATCCCATCACACAGAGAAGATACTGGACAAAACCTTGTCCAGTATTTTGCTGCAATCTATGGGCCATAGCGCCACTGGGCAAAGGCGTCCCGTGCTTATTGGGCATGGAAAGGGTCTTAATAGATTTTCTAGTTGTAACCTCTCTGTGGGGATATTTACTGTATATTTATTTTCTTTTTATGAAAACAAAAATGGTTATATGCAAAGAGAATTCATTTCTAAATAAGCAGGTCTTTACAGTCCATTGAAATAGTCATGTATCTGATGACCTTCTTATGAAACTGCTTTATGCTTATCCATAGAACCATCCAGCTCATCCACTCTGACTGGTAGCAGTGCTTCAGGTTTCAGATATTCAGTGCATAACTGGCTCAGTATTACTCAGAGCATATTGGGTGAGCAAGAAATTGAACCTGGGTCACTCAAGTACTAGTCCTACCTTCTAACCACTAAATCACAGTGATTCTCCTTTAGCTAAGTGAATGGGGCTCATTATGGAGATCTCACTAAAAAGTTGGTACTTTCCAATGAAAATGTAAATTCTTTATAATTTTCTGTAGCATACCTTTCCCAGTGGCAATGAGATATTTCTGCAGATCTGCTTGGCCTTTAAATACTTCAACCTCACAGAACACAATCTTTCCCCATCTTTCTAAATTGCCATAACCCTATTATATAAATGGAGGAGGTCCAGAAATTCTTAGCCAAGTGTTTATTGCAGTAGTGATGTCAGCAGATCATAGTATTTACACACACACACCGCCACCACAAGAACAATACAAGCGGTATAACTTATAGCTAAACTGAGCATTCAAAATGTAATTTGCTTCCAAATAATGAACAATTTTGAATTGGCTGTTCCAATTAATTTGCAGCACAGAAGGTGGAGCTGCTGACAGCATCATACTGAGTTATGAATATGGCAAGAGAAAATTAATACTCATATAAAGTGTAAAACATATAATCAAACTTACATTATCCATCCAGATCCACATATGTTGGTTCACACTGAACATGTTTAGAAACAGCAAGCAGAAATAATCAATTTCAGAAACAGCTGGTTGTGAAAGTAATAAAAATAAGAATAATTAAAGTCAATCTAAATGTGACTGAAATCTTGTTAACTGGTTCAGTGACACCACAGAAGGAAACTCATTTCCTATAGAATGCATGTGGAAACTTTTCTTCCTGAAAGCTGCTAGATTGAATGGGTTCGGTGTATATATTCCTTATAACCACATCCTTCTATATCTTTTCTGGTGACATCCCCAACAAGAATAAGGACTGGTATCTTATAATTTAGGAATGAGCCACTGTGCAGAAACACAGGAATCTAGTTCATTAAAAAATTGTGCCTTGGAAGATCATTCCCAACATGTTTAATTGTGTGCTAGATCTGTTGGCTTCCACGACACAGCCGAACTGCTCAGGTACAAGAAGAAGCACCCTATCAAAATAAAATGCAGTTGTTGTCTGTGTTATGCCAAAATCTGTCCTCTGATTTCTCAAAATAATCTTGCTCTGGTGATTAACTGCTCTGGAATCTTTCTGAAATGTGGGTCTTGCTCCTAAAATCCAGTGCCATACCAAGCTTTACAAAAGCCCCATTTCATGTGCATGTCATGATATCTCATCATGTTCTATGAAAATCTCTTTGCTAGTGAGCATGGACAAGGGAACAGACTCCTGCTTTTGATAAGTTCATATGCAGAAATGTAAGGTTGCATGTGATACTTTTAGATTTTGTTTGCTTGAAGGCTGCTTCTTCCTTAAATCTGTTCCTATTTCTTGA